TCCCCATCTCAAAACACTTGGGAAATTGTCTTTTCTTCTCATCACAACCTGCACAAGATGATCATGTAACAAATGAACAAAAGAAAGAAAAAAAAAAATTACAGACTTTGCACTGCACTTGTTGTGTTCAGGAAAAAAAGTTGTTATAGTTAGTTCCAATGTGTAAATTTTGCTAATCAAAAATGTGTAAAAGAGGATTCCAAGTAGTAGAGAAGGTGATCTTCCATTTAAACTTTCTTCCAACTTGACATTCCAACTATTTTTCACTCTTTAGACTGAATCAAGTAAATTATTTCATGGTTTTCTATCTCATCTGTATACCACCATATTTGATGAGTATTTTCAGCATCCCTGAGATAGGCCCAGATACAGTCAGGTCTCCAGTAAGCCATAGTTCCTCACAGTCCATGATAAGATATCTCCACCAATTTTGTCAGACACTAAGACACTAGCCCAGGTGAAAAAAAATATAAAAAAATGAGAAAAATAAAAATGAAATTGGTCGGATGACTCCCAAAATCCGCCCAGACTTTAGAAGACGACTCCCAACGGACGTCCGCTGATGGTCATTGGGAGTCGTTGGCAAAAAAACGGGAGTTGTTTTTCCCAAGCCCTAATATTAATCTTGAACATTAGTTGTAAGTTTTTGTTTGTTGGTCAATTTGATGTGGGATGCAGTAGATTCCCTTTTAGTGAGGGCTCAGTGATACCCCCAACTGAGTACTTCTTTCACCCAGGAATTCTGGGGGAGGGGAAGGGGGATCATGAGATTAACTGAGACATAACACTACAAGCAATACCCATTTTGCCCCAAAAATAAATGGCAATTTGGGTGGGGGAAAATGGATCAATTTTCTGGCAATTTTTTCCAAAATGCCTCAGGAGTAGAAATTAGGATAAACTGAGCTATTTTAGCCCAGAGATAGAAATTCATCAAACATTCCAAAATGAATTTTTAGCTCATTTGAGACATTTTTATTTTTTGGCTAAAATAGCTCATTTTAACCTAATTTTTTACTCCTGAGGCATCTTGTAAAAAAAGTTCCAGAAAATTGATCTATTTTCCACCATCCAAATTGCCATTTTTCCTTGGGGCAAATCAGTATTGTTTGTAGTGTAAAGGTGAGTCAACTGTTCCAAAAACTTTCAGGGCAGCTCAAATTTTCCTTTATCATTACAAATATCCAGAATCTCATCCTGAAAAATCTCTGGCAAATCTAGAGATTGTTTTTTTGTACGTGGGTACCTGTTAAATTTTTCAGAAGATAGGTACCAAGTACTGCACCTGGCACCTCCCTGCGGGTACCGGCAGTACTTTTGGTGGGTACCACAGGTATCCCCTCTCTTTCTCACCTAGTTTCACTCCCAAATTCCCAAGTCAGTTTTTCATTCTTTTCACCTTTAAGTCCCAAGTCTCATTTTTTCATTTTTCTAGTCACTTTTTTCACTTGTTTCATATTTATTAGAGGGTATCAAATATAGGAAATCCACCATTGGAAACCAGTCACTTTTCCCAAAACTTTTTTTTGCATCAATGTACCCCAAAAGGGGTTAAATGGATAATAAACATGTTTCAAAAAGGGTGGATTTTTTCAAACCAGTCAATTAAGTAATGGTGGATTTGGTTATATTTGATACCCCCTATTGTTTTCAGTGTTCACTCCCAGAGTGCCAGGTGACTTTTTTCAATTTTGAGTCACATTTTTCAATTTTTTTTTCACAGTTATTGTTTTCACTCCCAGAGTTCCAAGTCTTTTGTTTCATTTTTAGTCACTATTTTCATTTTTTTCACATTTACAAATTTCAAAAAAAGGAAAAGAAACATCTATGGAGTCACTGACATGCCACAATGGCCAAACAAATCAAATATGAAAAAAATATGAAAAAAGAATCCATCAGCCAATTTGGCCGTACAGCCCTCCCATTGATGACCGGTTATGACACTGGTCATCAATGGGAGGACACACTCCCATCAAGGATTGGTTTTGACTGGTCCTTGATGGGGGTAAACACCCCCATGATTGATGAATGGTCAAAACCAGTTATTGATGGGAGGACACACCCCCATCAAGGATTGGTTTTGACTGGTCCTTGATGGGGGTAAACACCCCCATTGATGACCGGTCATTGACGGGGGTAAACAACCCCCCCATCAATGAAACTGTCATCAATGGGGGACATACTCCCATCAAGGACTGGTCCTTGATGGGGTTAAACACCCTCATTGGAGAGGCCTGACCTCTGTGATTCAAAAAGCTACTGAAGAGGCTGCCAGGGAGATGGTGGAAGACCTTGCCAAAGGGCAAGCGGACGACCAGGCGCTTAGCCTTCTTGAGGTCCAGCTTGATCTCACAAGGGCAACAATTTCCTGACCACCACGGATAGGGAGGTAAGGCTCTAGTTCTGAGCGGGCAGGGGACTGACCGTCTGAAAGAGGAGCTGGGTGCTTGTCTTGGAAGTTGAGTAGGAGTCCAGACACTCTTGGCTGACGGAGACTGTGAGTGGCGGATGCTTGGGTGAAGGGTCAATGCTCAAAGGGACCAAGACCTGTTGCTTGACAAGCTTGCCATGCTTCTTGCTCTCAACCTTCCATCCTAGCGAGCCCTCCTTGGACGGACAAGGATTTGTAAGTGTTTCCGCCATTGTGTGCAGTCATAGAAACTTTGGTCAGTGTCTTTTCTCCATGTTGGCCAAGCTTTTAGGCCAAATTGACTGGAAGACTAACATATTTTTGGCGTTTATGGGGATGTTGACCCCCATCAACAACCGGTAAAGACCAGTCCTTGATGGGGGTGTGTCCTCCCATGAATGACCAGCTTTAATTGGTCCTTGATGGGAATTTGTCCTCCATTGATGACCGTTTCATCAATGGGGGTGTTTACCTCCATCAAGAACTGGTCAAAACTGGTCCTGTGGGGGCTGTACCCGTAGCGGTACCCAGGTACTGCCCCTTTTTAGCCAAAAAACTGGCACCTCCTGGCGGGTGTGCTGCGGGTGAAGGCCGTAACCCCCAAGCAGTACTTGGTACCTAGCAAAGGGTACCTGGGAACAATCTCTAAAAAGAAGAACTATCATAAAACTAGAGCCGGCACTGCAACTACTGTAAAAATGGGTGGCTATAACTCCAACTCCTTTGATGATGAAGACAAGATTTGTGTTATCCCCAATTAAATGAATCCTGCCTTCTGTCAATTAATTATCTTTCTTGTAATTTCAAAATATTTTAGCCTACTTTATGGGGATTCTACTATTTTTAGTACAATTTCCATTTTTTTCCCTTTCTTTTCTATACTGGAAAATGCTAAATTTTTGTCTTGTTATCAGCAGGGGGGGGGGGGATGTTGAATTAAACAATCCTGTATCCAGTACTTGCATGCTTGTACTGAGTTATGCTTATGTCAAGCCTCCCATTACTACTTGTAATGATATGGTCGCTCAAGAGCTTGATTCATTGAAAAGAGAGAGAGAAAAACTATATATATACTAGGTACAGGCTTTGTCTCACAGGACTCGGTATAAGCATACCTATGTCCTAACACCCCCCCTGTCGGCTAGGCGGATGTATCCATGTATCCTAAGACCTTGTCCACTAATAACCCATGTTTTTCCGGGGTCATAGCTTTATTCAGGATGTCAGCTAGTTGCTTATCGGTAGGAACCCACAATAAGCTGGCCTTGTTTTCAAATAAAGATTGATTAGTAATATAGTATTCACGTTCCGTGTGTCTAGTCCTCTTGTTTGAACTGTCATCTTTTCCTACTTTAATTGCAGCTTTGTTGTCACACAGTAACATACCTTTGAATTGATGTCCTAGAACATCTTCAATCAGTTGTTGAACCCATAGTAGTTGTCTAGTCGCCATTCCCAGTGCCATGTACTCCGCATGACAAGTCGAAGCTGCTACTGTGTGAAGTCGTCTTGCAATCCAGAGGACTGGGGCGCCATAGAATGACAGAAAAATACCATAGGATGAATGTTGGAATTCTCCGCCCCATCCTCGCATTGCATGTAGCATTTGAGTGGTTCAGCCAAGTCTTT